GAAGGTCTGATTTAAGTTTTTTTTAATAATTCATATAAGTGGTCCTCCAAATATAAAATTATACATGTAGTGGTCCGTGAAGTTCTAAGGGTTGATGACCGTTCATATATTCTAACCTCAACATTGCGTTTGTTGCCACTCGGAAAAATTAGTGCGAAAATTAGCGTTTACAGAGTTTTTAATTAATATCTTAGCTGATTAAAGCAGTACGAAGCTGAGAATGGCCGAAATGGCTTCCGACGAATTTTTCGAATCCAGAGGGGTACCTTTCTTGAAATTCAACTCCCCGCCTTTCCGGAGGAGATGATGTTACAAACAAACAAACAAAGAAACGCGTACAGACTTTAATAGTACAGATTTGACACTTCAGGTTAATACATATGACGTCTTAATTTAAATTTAATGTAATATAGGAATGTTTTCCTAGTATCAATAAAAAAAATTAACGAGACAATAACCTATCGTGCCAATTATCCTAACTTAAAACAAAAAGGTTGCCAACGGGAGCTATTTATTTAAAATGCTTATAATAACGAAATACAGTGACATCAAATGCAATCGCGTGCTTTCTTCGACGTCAGAATATGGCGTTGACTGATGTGTGTATCCATATATATATATATGAAATATGCCACATTTTTGTTTTTTTTTGTGCAGGCGTAGGACAATACCTTTTCAAAATTTCTTTTTAAATTGACAGATGTAACACGATATGTTAAAATTAATACGTGCTTTTTTGATTTAGTTTCCGCTTTATGTTTTGATGTTGCATTGGATAACACGTAATATTTATTAAAACTAAATGTAGAATAAATATAATGTTTTATCAAATGTCACATTTTATGGTTTCACAGTCCACTGACTCATCTCAAGGAAGTTAGTGCCTAGGTAATATTTAAAGAAGTCACGAAAAAATGTTGTAATAATAAATTTGCATCCTCTGTGTTTGCCTGTATTTTTTTAATGCAATAAATGAAAAAGCATTTTTCTTTTAGGACAGCAGATTTCTAATTATCTCTAGAAAACATTCTTATTTTTACGTTTTAATTATTTTGATACTAAAGTATTAAATGGTCCTTATTTGCTTGTTGCCCAAAATGTATTGGTGCATTCTGATTATGAAATACATAGGATACCCACAAAATCCCTAAATAACCTTACCCTATTATTGCGGACATCCTGTAAGGGGTAGTGTTGTAAACTTCTGTGGTGTTATTGCACATATATGAAGTTTTTCCCTAAGAGTTTGTTTTAGTTTAATATGACAATAATGTGAGGATCTTTGCAGTTAACGTGAGTCACACATAATGTTAAGATACTTGCATCTTAAAATCAAGGACGGAACTTTTAAAGGGTCCAAGCAAGTGCTTTAACTAGAAATGGAAAATCTGATGATTTACAAGGTGAAAATTTAGAAAAAATGTCATTTAAAATTACTACACAAAATATTTTAATATTATATTCTGAATTATATTTAAAAAAATCATAAAGCTTTTAACTCTCGTAAGACTAAGGATTAGCTGTTACTATCGTACTCCTATATGAACTACAATATCCCCTTCAAGATACATATATTGAAGTATTACCCAGATTAACTTTCTGAAAACTTTGGTGTTTTCAATGAAAAGCAGAGGAAGCGTTTCGATTAAAATATTTTTCAATATAAAAGAGATAACAGGAACAATGGAGCACAAATACCTGCTGGTAATTGTTGGGTTTGGAGATGGATTTTTCCTTTTATTAATGGAAGAAAACAGTTAGATACTATATCATATTACGTAAGGGTAAAGTTATGCATCATGTATCATGCATGCATGTATTTCATGGCTTAATTTCTAAAATTAGAAGTGATGGAGCCCTATGAAAGGCCATTAGAAAAGAGAAAAAGGAAATAGACAAAATAACTAAGAAAACAAACAAATAAATAATGATTAAAATAATTTAACTAAATTCCATGAAATGTAAAATGATAAATAAAAATTTAATTCATTATTAAATTAATGATAAACAGTCAAATTATAAAATAAAATATTGGAGGCTCTAGATGGAATGACAATTTCACTCAAAAACCAAGCAGTAATTCAGGCTAACTCCGGATGAATTTAAGTCCCAAATGGATAATATAATGTAGTATGAGAATCTAGAAGGAAATTTTAACATAGATGCATGGGGATGAAAACAAAGGAAGAAGAGCCGGATATTTTCTGACCATAATCATTTTCCGATCGCTGCCAAGCTGAATCTGATAAGGTAAAATATGCTGCCGATCCAAAGGTAGATACGTAAGCTAGGAATAAGGGTAAAGATTCGCACAAGTAACAGTTTTCATCCAGTGTTTAGGTTATATCACTTCAAAAAGTTTGCAAATGCTCTTTTCCATGGGAAGTCACTTGCATTTTGAGTGCGCGCCCAAGATGATCTCTTCTAATATTTTCAGGAATGAAAATTTCCCTCTCTCTCATATGCTTAATTGCACTCCTTGGAGAATAAGCCACATGTGGGTAGGGAATCTTCTTAGTTTAAAAGTCTCAATTTCCGGCAAAGTTCATTTCATAGAGAAAGACAGATATGTATTTGGAAGTTAGATTTGATTCAAGCCTAATTTATTATTAAAATGCGATTTTTGAGATCAAAAGAATTCTCTAATGAAATTGCAGTAGAGTTACATGAAAGAAGTGCTAAAGCTCTTATTTAACGCTCAAAAGCAGTTTATGTCTTTGGGTATACATATAAAAAGTTTTAGTACTTAAACAAATAATCCTCGAGATGGAAAAAATTACATATTTCAGCATGAAAAGCTCTATTAATAACAGGTGTGATGTTAGTTTTATTTTTCCGGATTTATAGTTACATGAATTGGGAATTTTATATTTATTTGTAAACTCATCGAAGATATTTCTTGGAAAACGCATGGTTTATGACAGTAATACTATTTTTAAAATTATTTTTATCAATTTTATTTGAATAGTTTAAATTATGTAAATTGATATAAATTATTTAAAATTTACATTAATTTCATTTGCATGAACTATGAACAGCAGTATTACGGAATCTACGTCTACAATATAAAGGTCTACAAAAATTCAACAATCATCTGGTTTTCAAATACAATTTCAATTGTTGTAATTTGGATGTGGGAAGATCATTTACATAGCACCTCAAGTGACACCAAAGAAATAGAAAATTAGTAAATAAACAATAACAGACATATAATATTCATATACAGTACATTCAGAGGTTGTTATCCTGACCTAGTATTTAGTGTCATAGGGCGTTAGTGTTCAGTGTTACAGGTTATTGTGAAAGACATACATGAAAAGATATAAGACAAGAGGTGGCCTTCAGCAAAAGAATTCGCTCACTTTAAATAGCGTTGCATTTTTTATATCACACTGGAATATGCACATTGGAATAAAGTTTTTTTTTAAATTATTTCTTAGTATAGAATTATCTATGCTTTTTCACCACAATTTTCAACTGCTGAAAATTTGCCGGTGGAAGTGGGCAATTACAAAGTGATCTGCCAGAGTTTCTCGGATTTGTTCAAATGTATTTAAATCGAGAAAACTGGCAGTCGTCAACTGTTCAAGCAATAGATTTACATGCCAGTATCATATCAACAGTAAAGAGTGATGTTTTGTTATGTTATCATTATCTACAAGGATGAACTGGAAGTCAGTGTCATCTTGAAACATTTAAACTTGAAGAAGAATTATTTCGTCGTAACAGTAGTATTCATGGGTTACAAAACCAGCTTGTATCAGCTACGGTTGTACACGTTCATTCAGCATAATACCAGTATAATTCATTCAGCATAATATAATGTATAAATGAAAACATCTCAATAAGTATATTGATTTATTTCACTTATAGTTTTGGGATGATATCCTGTACTAATCTGTCGCCAAGTAAGGTGATATTTAGAATTATTACTGAGGAACTCGACCTCCTCATTCCTAGCCGAAAATACTTCCAATAACACCAATAAGCAAGCGGAAAATAGCTTATATTCTTTCCTACTTAAACGACGATTGAAGAGGTGGGGGCATAATCACCAAATCTTGGCGGTAACGATTTATCGTTCATCACATTTTAGTACAGGCTCCACGTGTAGAGTCGTTATGATTTTTCGGAGTAGAGAAACTTAAGAAATCAGGCACACGCTTGCCAGGTTTCGAATTCCAGACGTCTATATTGCATTCCAGACGTGATTCCAATTACACTATCAAAGCACGCGGTAAGAAGGGTTAGGTTATTCGAATAAGCAAAAACCACGATGATTCTCTACATAAGAGAAGGAATGCATTAGTGAAGAACTTTCTGATGTAGTCTTATTGGCATTCATGTACACACTCGTATTAAAGAGAGAATAAACACCTTACAGTATTTCATCTTTACAAAATAGAAAGGAATCATAAAACTTTGACACATGAAATTAACTTTTAGATAACAGTTTAAGCCTTTTCTCTACTTTACTATGAGCTTTAACACAATAAAATATCTTTCCTTTAACTCAATAAAAAATCTGTTTCTTTCATACGTTTATCTGAATATATTTGTCTAAACTGACATATTTTTCCCTTTTATATTAGTGTAGGTCAAGGTCAATCCTTCTAAGAACTTTTATTTTAAAAATCGACGTAGATTATCAGATATACACTGAATAAAATGTAAAAAATTACACTTATTCTTCTGTTATTGATTTGTTCATTACGTAATACTCTAGGAAATACGTAGTAAACAATTCCTAACGTATTATAAAAAACATTACGTTAGGAAAATAAAATATAAAATGAATATTTTGCTTTATTTAAGCAACACATGCTGTACAGCGTTCGTTGACAACCGATCGAGGAACTATGTGTAATGCTAATATTTAAAGTATCAAAAAGTAAAATATTAATAAATTTTATTCCTCAACCTTTTGCACGAATATTATTGTTCAGCTGGAAAACATGATTTTTTGCCTTTAGCGAATGTCAATATCTCTGTTTTTTCATCAATGGAATAATATCAGATATCATTATTTGGAGATTTAGTATAAAAATTCAGACTGCAATGTGATAGTTTATTCACTCAAACTGCAGTTAATCTCTGTTTTGATATTCATTCAAAGCTTCACTTAGGAATCATGAATTCAAAGGTAATATATAGATTTAATAGTATTTCAATTTATATTTACAATATTTTAAGCATATTCTTTCTGCTTTAGCCTAAGTTCTTTGCCATGAATAGCAATCTAAAAATTTGTTCATTGATTCATTTTTGACATAACATTCTCGTATATTTTACATAAATTTTATGTAATTCTACAGTTATTATTCCCTGTAATGCTGAAGATCATCTCTCTTTTGATACTGCAAATAGTTTGCTATGTCTCTCAGTATTAACCATTCCGTTTTATCGGATATTCATAATATACTCCTATGTGTATGACATTTACATTTAATTATTTAATCAAAATTCCTTAAGGTATTGCTTTAAACACTGTCTGAATTAATCAAAGTCTCGTTTTGAAGTTTATTATTTTAAATACACAGGATATTTAAATATTTTTAGAATGATTTAAGGGTCGTTTAATTAATGTTTAAAGTGTAAGAGTAATTTATTAAATGAGCTAAACACAAGAGAACATTGCAGGAATATACAGAAAAGGTATATACGTAATACATAAATCAGTTTTCATTTCTTCAATGAATGCAAGGGTATTTTTCGAAGTTTGGCTTATAAGGTATTTCTCCCGCCTTCTTAGAATGCCTTCGTGGTGTAGTGGTCAGCACGCTCGGAGCATGTCCGTAGTTTGATTTCCGGCGATGGCATTGCTCATATTTCCTCTCTCCTGCTTTCAAAAAATACCTAAGTCTCTACAGACTAATTGCTTTGTCTTGAGAAGGTTTTACTCTCTGAAAGCTTTTGAAGTAAAGAAAGGGAATTGCTTATGTAAATAATGTCGGAGTAAAATTTTCTCTTGGTAGTACATTGAGTTGTTTTTAACCTTTTTAATCACTATTCTTATTTAAGAGAATTCTGCGACATAAACCCCTACCTGAAACGCTTTGTCTGATGGAACAAGGTTTCTACAAATTTTTCTCTTCGTGTTTGATAATAAACATATCTCTTTTATTATAGTCATTTAGTTAAATACATGCTTCATCAAGGGAATTCTGCAAATTATTTCGGCGTTGAATCACATACCTAGGCAAAAACTTGTGAACATTATGGTTCACCAGTTTTTATTTCTCATCTTAATTTTTTCATTCCTGTCTTTCCATTATAATCTGTTATTTTAGATTAGGAACATCAAGGACATTGCCACTTCCTATTTGTTCATCTCATAGCATTTAATTTATACTTTCATCTGAGACTATAATTCAAATCAGTGTTCATATTTGTGCTTTTTACGAATCGAAACACACTAACCCGACATGAAGTGGGGACAAAAAGTTAACCGAGTCGACCTTTTCTCTGCTGTTTTTGTTCCCATGGTTATAAATCAAAATTGGAAAGCGGAAATATCACTGAAGTTTCCATTTTAAGTTAAAAAGACTATAGTACAGCCTGTAAGCATTGCGTTGTTGAGAAAAACGCTTTCGTAGATTGAAGATCGTTCAATCTGTAGCCTTAGGTCTGCGTTTGCGTAAGTTATGAGATCATTTGTCCTGACTACCACTAAATGTCCCTGTATTTAACATACAGAATTCGGATTGGTAGAATTTGAATTCGAATTTCGGGGCTCACAGATAGCTTAATAAGATATTCTTGAGACATTTGTTTTCGATTCTTTAAGTTTGTATCTTGGTAAGAATTATGAAATTAATGGTGCCGTATTAGTAAATTTTAGATATGTGAGCTTATAATGCAAGTATAAAATTTCTGTGATCATTTAGAGATTATTTGTAAAGTAACTTTAAATGTATTCTCTGTTTTTCTAGTAGCTTTAAGCATTTGTGAATGCTGTATGATTAAAACTAAAATGTACTATCATCAATGAAGAAAAAAAATTACATCCACAGTTTAAAAAGGGCTGGTAAATACTTAATGTGTTTCTAGAAACCTTACTTTTTGTGAATTATATATGATTAAAATATACTATTAAATCAAAACATGCAGAAATATTAATTGCATCAATAGTTTAAGAATAACTGATACTTTAGAAATGTGGAACAATTGTAATAAAAACTCACAATAATTGCACGCACAACATTGCTATATTATTTCATACATATGACTGATTGTCATGTCAGCTTGTTTATTTAAAAAATATACCCTAATTTTGATATAAAAAGAGAATATGTAACCTAAAATTTTAGGGTCACTTTCTTTAATGTCATAGCTGCGTACTTTATCAGAAATTTGTTTATGTTTTAAAATGCCCCATACAAAGTTATAAGTTATGCACAACGCATAAAAATTATTTTTAATTCTTAAATTTTTAATTTATCACCTGTTTTATGGAAACAATTATAATTTTTTTTAAATTAAAAAAAAGCATCATTGCATTATAAATTTTCACCAGCATTCTTTTAGAAATTTTAAAGTCCTTTATATATAATAAAAATTTTAAAATATAAATAAAAAATTATAAATAAAAGTTTTCAAAATAACTGCATATTGTACATTCATATGAAGCTAAATCTAAAAGACATATGTAGATAAAAATTCTTTATCGTGTTACGTTATAATTCCCAAAAAGGTAATAAATTATAGGAAGAAAATTAAATTAAGTAAAATATATATTATTAGGCAGTAACATACATCAGCTGGAATACAAAGCAGAGAACCTGATAGGCAAAAGATGAGTTTGGGACCCGTACTCACGATCTCAAAACTTTATCGCCAACTGATTGCTTTAGTTCTACCTCACTCATACGCAAATTCAAATTATATAAATTTGCTTTACATAAGCGACTAAGTTTGCAAGTTTTCAAACTGGTTTTTTTAGTCTCATTTAAATGTATGACCATCTAATAAAAGTCCTCCTCCTGAAAACAATTTTAAAACGGCATTTCTATTGAACATAGATTCCCCCAAAACTTTATTAGAAATCAAGATGTACTTATAAATATGTTCAAAATAATATATATTGATAAATAGCAAAATAAAAATTTAATTTACCTTTGAGGGAAAAAGAATATTTAGAAAACTATCATATATATATATATTTTTTACTCAGTATTAATGTGTTACTTTGTAGGGATTTATATTTATTTTAACTAACAATTTAAAGTTTGAGTTTAGACCTTTTCCTTAAGCCTTCATTCCCCTCATCAGTGCCAGAAGAGTTAAATGTTGTAGCGCACGGAAGGAAATGCAAATTTTCTACTTTGAAGGAAGTAGCTAAAAGCCGAGTTTCGGTAGAAGGAAGGGAGAGTTAGGCTCTAACCGCCGTCTCTGCCGTAGGTACGTTTGCTTATTGTTGGTTCAAGTGGCTTAATTGCATTTATCTGCTACCACCAGTTTTAACCCTTTGCGGCACAGTGTGTCCGGTCTAGACACACCTAAAAATTTCCTTCTGTATACGCACAGAAAAATTGCATGAAAAAGGATTTATAGGTTACTCTGAACCTTCTTTATTTATAGTAGATGGCAGCTCAACAAAAACCAGTCCATATATTTTAGCCATGTTTAGTTTTTTAAGACCCTCATTTTTCAAAGAAATCTTCTAGAATGTTTTAGGGTGTAAAAGGAATTGTTTGAAAAGAAATTTCTATGTTATTTTTTTTGGCTGTATGCTAATCTCCTTATTTTATATTAGTTTTAAATTTTTACCTTGAAATCTTGTCTACAATTATATTCTTTGTTTCTCTGCATTTCATCGGTCAGTTCATTGACAACAATGCTCCTTTCAGCACTCTTTTCGAAGCTCTATTCAATCAGTGTGCCCATTTTGGGCACACCCACAGAATTAAAACGACAAGTGCTATCTTCACAAAATTTTACTTGTGTACTCCTCTAGGCCTAATTAGACTGCCTACTTTTTTTTTTTTTTTTTAAATCAAAACTCCAACTTTAAAAGATAGCGTGCCGGAAAGGGTTAAAGGGGGTTTAAGTTACAGGATCTCGCTGAATCCTGTAGTCTAGGTCTATCGTTTGTTAATATCTTCAAATTTTAGTTTAATTACGTGATTTTCAGTTACCGCCCAAGCAGAGGCGAAGTTTGTTAGCTTCGAGTTGACGCATTGTAAATTTTAAAGAGTTAATAAAGGGTACTTGCACTTTTCTCCTGTGTAGTTTCCTGCTCCTGCGATTTCAGATAGAAATTAACTTACCTGGACTCTACAACCTCTTTCAAAAAGTTTCTGCTTATATGACTTTATATATGCTACAAAAGGTTTTGATAATCAGAAGTTCGAGAGTACAAATTTAAAAATAAATGCGTATGCAGAACTGGGACTGAGAAGTACTTGTCAGGCAAAAATTTGTTATTTCATGGACAGGAATTATATTTTTTATGCCTGAATTTTTTAACATTTCTCGTTACCTTATACGAACTAACATTTTAGGTTCAGTCATTTTTTTAAAATAAATTCAATTGATAGCTGTCTTTTTTAACACATCGATTTCTAGCTATAATAATCAATATCTTTGAAATTCAGAAGGAAGTATTTTTAAGAAATACAATCTGTCCCTGAAGCTCATTACTACTTCTGTAGATATTATTTTTTAAATTTGAAACTTGACAAATTCTCTATCATTACAGATCATTCGTACCTCCTTATGCTTGGCAGCTGTCATACTTCTTGCTGAAGGTCTTCCTCAGGGAGGAGGAGGTGGAGGTAAGGCAGGTGCCGGAGCTGAAGCTGGATTTAATGTTGGTGCAGGAGCAAGCGGTGGTGGTGGTGGTGAAGGCTGTGGTGAAGGAGGAGCAGGAGGAAGAGCCGGTGCAGGATTTGGTTTTGGAGGAGGAGCTGGAGCTGGCGCAGGAGGTAGCGGAGGTGCTGGAGGTGGCGGTGGAAAATGATGGACTATTAATCATTGTCTGAACATTCTTCCTATAAATTTCTAAATTCCTCTGATGTACCTGTATCATGTACTTTTAAAGTCATTGTTCTTAAATAAAATACATTTAAAATATTCAAGATTTTGATATAACATATATATTTTTGTAAATTTTATTCTGGAAAATAAAGTTACGCAATCCATTAAGAAACTGCTTGTAAGAATTAATTATTGCATATCGCTCATATAATCAATGACATGTGATCAGATTTACATAAGCGAACTACTTCAGATATTTCATTCTGTTTTATATATATGCCAAGTATATGCGTTTGTATGTGAATGTATTGACTGGAAAGTAATAATAAATGGGATAAATTATGGTCATGGTAGATTCAAGGAAAGTTAAACTTGATTATTCAAAACAATTTCTCTGCATGTTCATAATTAAACTGAGTCAGACTTTTAAGGCGTTATTTTCTAATGCACCTTAAATTAAATTAATTTACACTAAACAAAAAACATACACATTTAATAATAATAAAGATGTGCAAGAAAAGTAAAATAATTTTCAAAGCAAATTATCTTTTTGTAAAAATGTTTACATATATTTAAATTACTTGATATAACTTCCTATAATGTTTAATATTTCTTTTAATAACCAATATTGAAGATTCTTTGAAAAGCATCTGTGTTGAACATCATGTTTACAGTGTTATATTAGTTTTGAGAATTTAGGAAGAAATGAGAAGATGTGTTTTGCATTTACACCCAATTTAATTTTAAAATCTAATGAAGACAAAAGGTTGTCAAGATTGCTGTTCCTCCCAATTGCCTTTGAAACACTAGTAATCCTGAATAAGAGCAGAGAGCTTACACAAGCTATGCTCGTGTGTGTGTGTGTGTAGGAGATACAACACCACTAAGAGGGGTTAACTTTATTACCCTTTTACCTTTTATTTTTCACAGCGTTCAGCCGTTCCCGCACTTAGGGATACAGAGACCAGCACTTATGGTCAAAATCGTAGAAAATAAGAAATAAACTAAACTAAATAAGAACTAAGATGCTTTACAGAGAACTAGTAACGCGAAGTTTGACCTATTGACACTAAGTATGTCAGTGGTTTCCAACCTTTTTGTACCGGCGCCTCCCTTTAAAAACAAATTGTTGCGTCCCGTTAATTTATCTTAAAATCAAATTTCATAAGTAGTCAACTGATATTATAATTTATTTAATGGGCTACAAAATAATATACAATATTATGTAAAAATATAATATATTTATTATAAGAAATATAATAACAAAACAAAAAATGAATATATAATTAATACTACTACAACATAAAAATTTAATGCGACGGTTGAGTTTGTTTTTCAGCACAAATTTTCTCAAACCATGGTATCATTGAAGAAATCGCGGTTCTCAGTTCCTTTTCAATCATTAAGCGAGATCGATACTTTGTTTTTAAGACAGCTACTGCAGAAAAACCAGTTTCACATAGGTAAGATGTTACAAATGGCAATAAAATTTCTAAAGCTTTGTTTGTCAAAGTAGGAAAATCGTCCTTTACTCGTAGCCAAAACGTAACAATATTATTTTCACCTCGAAACATCTGCTTTAATGTGCTATCACTAGATAAGTCAATTATCATTTCCTGCTCTGCTGTCGTAAGGCCAAAATCATCATATTTTTCAATCACAAATGGGTTTCTATATTAATATTTGGACATGTCAAGATCTTTAAAGTACAACGAGAATTGCTTTCATAGACTGGTCAAATGATTATTAATAAGAACTTTACTTTCTTCTATTTCATCAGCAAGACAGGTAATTTTAAAAGTGGGAAACATGTCAAAGTTATTATTTTTCAAACTTATTATCCACAGTTCCAATATTTTCATAAATGCAGTAATCTTGTCTTTCTGCGTAAAAGCATGAATTTGAGCCCCTTGCATTGATTTATTTAAAATACTCAGTCTTTGAAAAATATCAACTAAATACGCAAGTTTTACAAGGAATTTCGTGTCATAAAACAAGTGTGCTTCATCTCTATTATTATCACTAAGAAATATGGCGATCTCTTCTTTTAGCTCAAACACCCTTTGAAGTACTTTGGCACGAGAAAGCCAACGTACCTCACAATAGTATAGAAGTGATCTATATTCTGAACCCATGTCATCACACAATTTTGCGAAAAGTCTTCCTCTTAATGGGCTATTTTTGATAAAATTTACAACTCTTGTAATAACTTCAAATACTGTTAGTAGATCTTCACCCATATCTCTTGAAACAAGTGATTGTCTATGAATCATGCAATGCGTCCAAACTGCACGAGGAGCCACCTTTCGAACTAGTGCCTGTAGACCAGCATTTTTTCCTGCCATAGATGGAGCTCCATCTGTGCATAGTCCAACACAGTTCTCCCACAGAATGCCATTTTCATTAAAAAAATTATCAATGATTTTAAAAACTTCCTTTGCTGTAGTATTGCATTCAATAGGTTTACAGAATATCATGTCTTCTCTAACATCAGTTTCCACAACATATCTTACATATGTTATCAAGTGTGCATCATCCTTAAGAACATAGGTAGCCTCATCTACTTGCAACGCGAAAGAAGATAGTTTTACTTTTTCTATTAGTTGATCGCAAAGATCTTCAGATATATCGGATATTCGTCTTCCCACCGTATTATCTGATTATGATTATTATCTTTCCACCAACCTATATCACCGTATCTATCCCACCGTATTAAGTGGAATGATTTTAAGTTGATCAGCATATGATTCACCGAGCATCGTTTCTATCATGTCAATAGCTGCAGGTAGCACCAAAGTTTCTCCTATTGAATGGTTTTTTTTTTGCATTTAGCAATTCTATAAGAAACTTTATATGACGCAAGCAATGCTTTTTGTGTTACAGACATGGTCTTTGAAAACATTTCTAGTTGTTTATTTAAATTCTCTAATTTTCTTTGGAAAAATTCTCTTGTCTTGCCAACGTGATCTGCATATACTTTTTCAAGATGTCGTTTTAATTTATTTGCTTTCATGCTGTCCGAGGCCAAAGTATTCATACAAAGCAAACACAATGGTCGTTCTTGGCCATTAATAACCTTATATGTAAATCCTAATGATAAGTACATTGGATCCTATTTTCTATATTCAGGTTTACTATTTTGCGAAGATGTATTTCCGATATTTTCATCATCTTTTCTTTTGCCCTCTGCTTCTGCTTCATTTAATTTTCTTTTCAAGCCAGTTACGTATTTATCCATCTAAAAGGGGTATTATTTTAAATCAATGACTTTATATTAATTTAAAATACAATACAATTATATCTATATTTTTTAAAATTAAATATCAGTCTTAATTGGGATAATTTTTAAATGTAGAATTAAAAACATTTTTTGTCAAAATTAATTACTGGAATATAAACAACATAAAAATAACTTGCGCTCTTCTTTCATAAACGTGAATTTTTCCAATAACAATATTCATATTACTCAATTAAAACGGTTACTGGTAAATTTACGAGAAAGTAAAAAAGCGCTAGTAGTGAAAAAAGAGTATATTAACATCGGCCAGGATGTTATTTTATTGTTTCGGATGTTAATAACCTTGGCACTTCGCGGTCGTGCCGAAAAACTACCTCAACATTAAATTAACATTTCCTTGTTAATAAGGTACTATTATAACAGTTATGAAATTTACCTCAATGTTAATTTATTTAGAAGTTACCAAAGCGAAGTGTTTCATTCTATATATCAACGTGGTTATCGCAAGCACTACTAACGAACTAATTCTGTTCATAGAAAACAGAAACAATCAGATGCTTCTGTTTACTGAAGTTTGGAACGAGTAAGCACGAGAATACCCGGGATGTTGCGAGTGCTTATCTTTTGATTCCACGTCCCACCGGTGCTCGCCTCCAAACGTGAAAGCGAGATATTTCGTTCCAAGAAGAGTATGCATGGTGCAACAACAAAGTTCAAATGAATAAAGGTAAAAATATCTCTTACCTTTTCGAATCCGGGCGGCGAGTATTCCATCGACATGAAGATCGTCAAAACTGTAAACTAAATTTAAGGCACATTCTTCTACAGAGATTACAATAAAATTATTATTATTATTATATACATATATACAGTCATAATTGATTTACACTTAACATCTATGATAATTAAACGCGCTTTCAGATACAAAGCGGTTCCAATTCTCCTACTGCGTAGCAGTTCGACTGTCTTCTCCTACGCAAACCGAGTTCAAAGTTTTTTACTTAGCCCCTTCGCGCCGACTGTCACGTATAGGTGCCAGCAACGAACGCACTTACCTACCGGCCGACACGCAGGCGTGCCAGAGGATTGTTCCATTCTCTACCGACTGTCACGTATTTGTGCCAGTACCTTGGAACGTTTTTCAAACTATAATTTCTGCCACAAGATGGCACTGTATGTCCATATGGTTTTCAGATACTGTAAATTAGACCTTCTACTCGAAATGAGAGAAGCATGACTCACATACACGTGTTTTTGATTACATAAACAAACGGGGAAATAAATTTTTCCGAATGGCGTGATTTATGACGTCTCTTTAAATCGCACTTTATTCGCACGTGGTAGTTGTTTACTGTAAGTAGAGAAGTTTTTATTTGCTCTAAAGCGTTGGGTATTTTCGGTTTGCAGTTCAATTTTTAGAAAATAATTAGATCTTGTTAGACGTGAATTTCTTTGTTTTTTACCGTTGCAATGTCGAAGCGTCGAAAATGTTTTAACAGAGCATGAAATAGCAGAAATGATGCAAATATTTCAGATATTGATTCTGAAATTCTGATATTCTGATATTGATTCTGAAAGATTAACTGAAAGACATTTTCCAAAACTTTGTTCAGAAGAGACTGATAAGAAAATGAGACGACGATGCTTCGTTTGTTCACATTCCCGAAAAAATCCTCAAAAACGGCAAATGAGTTATTGCGAGTGCAAGGAATGTAACGTAGGACTGTGTGTAGATCCCTGTTTTCAAATTTTTCATACGAAAAGAGAATTTTAAGTAATATATTTAGTTTTCATTATTAAATTAAATTAATAATGAATTAATTAATTGGTATTAAAAACATAAATGAAAATTTCTTCCTAGATAACTTTTGCTAAGCTGTACATTTTCATGAATGGGTATAATGTTAAAATTCATAAAATGATGAGTAATTAAAATAAAATGTGTAAAATATGCATTTAAACAAGAAATAAGGTATTAAAGTATATATATAAAAATATTTATAAAGCATAAGCCGTTTAAATACTCTATAGAGCATTATTAAACAATGCGTTGATACTTCGGAAATTTCATGGATTTAGGCTTAGTAGCAAAAAAGCCCCCGGCCCTGGAGAGACGCTCGCGTAAGACACTGCCGGCCTCAGCGATAAGCGCACGTTTTCGCTACCCGGCTCGAAGGGGTTAGGAATTAATTCTAAAGTTCGCTAGATGACGCTGGGAGTTCAGTCCAGTTGTAACAGATGAGATGTTTTAGCATTTGTATCCGAAAAATTCGGGGCGAGGATTGTGGATTACGTATACTGCTGATTCATTTTTTTGACACCTATTCGACTTTTTTGGTTTGTATTCGAAAATGATATTTTGGAAACAGCTGCATGCCCCCCTGGGGGGGCGCCCCACAGGTTGGAAACCACTGACATATGTAGTGAGCGAAATGCAGAAACTACAATACGTTTTCAAATATCAACAGGAACTAAAGGCAGACATGGAACTGACTGTAAAGCAGCCGCGTGGTAAGACAGCAAGAAGTTCATCTTTTTTATTGGCTAAAAGCCATATCTTAAATATCTATACAGTGTACAACCTCATTAATCATAAACAATTCTCTTCAAGCTTATTTTGAAAATAAGAGAGGCTAGCAAAGTTTAAAAATAAAATAAACGTTAGTAAAACTTAAAATCCTTACAAAGTCTCTTTCTGAAGTAGTCCATGAGAATAACTCAAGTGAGATAAACTAACTATAAACCTCAGTTTTATGAAATTTCTGACATTATGCTAGGAAACTATGTTAAAGCGAAATCATGAAATTTGCAAGTCAGTGAAAAATAAATCTAGAATCTGCAAGCCAAGTGAGAAATTAGTGTTCCTTATTAAGTTTAAAAGACAAACTATTGCATATAATTCGTATAATTCATATACAACAAAATCTCTTCTAACGACGATCCATTTAACCGACAATAGAAAAATAACTGCACTTTTTAAAACCTAAATTTAAATCCGAAATTTAGGTCTATGAGATAACAAAGTAAGTCGTCGGCTAATGATTTGAAGACTTAAATATTGAAGATAGTATTTATTTTATATTTCTTCCGTCCAGCGTGGCAAACCTTATGAAATTAGGGAATCATGGAATTATCCAGAATATAAAGACGCACTACGGATACCTTTTTAATCATCATATGTGAACTTTGAAAGTAGTGGCTTCCATTTTCAGAAAAAATTCTCACTGAAGGATGTCATATTTACTTTGTCTATTTTCTTGAAAGATATAAAGAACATTATGTCGTAGTTGATGTAAACTGTGGCCTATGATGATGTTCGTTAGATACTAGTCGAGTGACAAAGTTTCTTACATATTCAGAGAATATTAGTAAAGATGAAAAGGAAGTGCAGGCTTGGATTGGATGTAGACAATTCTGTTCCCATCGCAATCTCTCACGATGACGATGAAATAATTGGACATATACTGGGAAAGAGAAACATTATAGGCGGAGGGAGCTTACATATAAACTGAAGTCTGTCCATGCAAAATAATGCAGATCCTTTAGAAATGTGAATAAAGAATTCTACCTATGTAACATAATCTTAGACGGCAGGGTTTCAAAAATGTACACCGTTGCTATAATTGATGTAATCAAAAGCAAGGAAAAAGTACTGATTTCTGACTTATAAAAACAGAGTATTGTAGTTTCAAAATGTATAATATTCTTTAAGTATTTAGTTAAAGACATTATTATATTCCTGATCTAAAACAACGGCACACGGCAAACCACATGTGAGTTATCTGCTTAATGTGAGGGATATCTTCGTGAACAACTTTCTAACAGCACTCTGGTGCCTTTAACTTACTTAAACCGATAAATTAACTCTGTCAGTCATAAGGAAAAATTTAGCCTTTTCAAGCCGTATGAGAGTTTAGTGTCTTTTATTTAGTTATTAAGAAATGCATTTAATGCATTTAATATTTCATGTAAGTATATTTGCGCATATATTCTGTAACAGTCATATATATCAGCTAAGACTTTATATTTTAATTTAATTGATGTTTACATTTTTAATTACATTATGTAATATGCCTGTACTTAAGTTATTGTCTATAAAATAATACAGATTCTTTAAAAACATAAATGAAAATTTCTTCCTAGATAACTTCTTGCTAAGCTGTACATTTTCATGAATGGGTGCTATATTGTAACTGCTTGAAGAAACAGAGTATGAAATAAAAGCGGGAAACAAAATCAAAAAATGAATCCCAATTAAAAAAAATCAAGTATTTTAATTTCACAAATCACTAGCATTTGCAAGCATACAGCTAAAGCTATTATCTTATGTCTCCTCTAAAAATAATTATGGTGCTTTGCAAAAATAATGGTTAAAAATAAGCAACAAATTCTTCACAGAAAGGAATTATAAAATAAAAGGTTCCATATACCTATAACAACGTCGTTATACTTTTAAAGATTAAATAATTCTTTTCAGAATTAATATAGCAAATTAAAAAATACAATTCGTAATTAGCAATAAGTGATTTTTAAGGATGATTAGCAAACATAATTATATGGAACAATTAATAGAAGAAAACACGTATTTAAGCACTTTTTCGCTGCAATTAAAGGCCAACCTATTTGAATGACGATACATTCCGATTACAGTTTGAAATTAGGATCGGCTAGATTGGGTTTAATGATTGTGCTGTGCTATTTATTTTATATAACATATATGGCATATTAGGGTACTAATAACAATATTTCAGTAATTTCATTTAGAATGAGTATTAGTTAATCTGCGACATTAAAATGATACTTAGAATGCAAACGTCGAGTGAGCCTTTTTACTTCCTTGTACGAAGTAAAAAGGAAGTATTGTAATCGTGAAAAGTTTCAGGCAGCATATTTCAAAGAAAAATATCCGTTTTGACCGCTATCGAATGCAATTTAATGATGTTTTTGCGTGACATCTGTACGTAAGGACAGAATAAAAGACTTTTTTCCTCCCAAAAAATTATAAAACTGCTTTAAAATGAATTCTGAATAGAATTTTTTTCGTGGTGTCTGTCCGTACGAACGTACGTAAGTATCTTGCATTACTGAAAAATAAGTAGCCTCAGAACGTTGAAATTTTGTATATAGGACTGTTATAACATGTAGATGTGCACCTCGTATTTTAGTTGCAATCGGCAGCACCAAACGTATATAAACATATTTATATACGCCTTCTGTTACTCGGCTCAGTGAGCTCAGTTTCTTTATTCTTATATGTTTATAAATTGTGCAATTTTTGCTTTAAAAATGATTGAATTATGTTGTTCTTATCTTCCGGTTAAGGTTTTTATGCCATTAGGAAATCTGCAAGCAATATTTGTAGAATTATCAACAACATAAAAGTTGCTTAAGTGCGGCTAAGCACTGCAAAGGGTGCGCCTTTGCAGCTGAGGATGATGGTTCGGTAAAACCATCGAAACTAGTCCTGTGAAAATTTGAATATATAACGCTATATTTGTTGTTTGACTTCTAAATTAAGATAAAAATAATTTCACAAATATATATGGAATAAAACTGAGTTCTTTCTCTCGGATTTTGAATTACATTTCATCTGTGTGGAAAACTGATTACATATTCTTCTCCCATTAAAATTGAAATTAATGAAAGATTTATCAAGTGATAGTGATTTGAAAATTATTATATAAATTCTAGCACATTATTTAAATGAAACTAATTTATGAAATAAGAGAAGTTTACATAAAAATGTTTAAAATTTTTAGTTTTCAGAACATTGTAGGATTGTAGGGTTATTATATTAAGTGTTTTAGCCTCTTTCATTAGTGGATACAATGATGGCAACTACGTCGCCTAAGCGGGATAGTGCTTAGCGACGCTGGTTGCCGTACCGAAGGACCCGTGTTCGAATCCCGGAGATGGCATGGATGTTTGTAAATGTACAGTGTCTGTGCGGCATGGGGGCACTCTAAATATGTGGCGAGTCGAAAGTCCTCTGGAGAGGTTGGTGGTAGGAGAAGAGGGGTGGTGGTGAGAGACTCTCTGACCCGTCTTCCTTGGTGTGTTCTCCATCAAAACAGAAGGGGGAATTGAGCAAAGTCCTACTGTCACCTGTATAGATGTTAAGGCTATTGCCAACGACAGGAGCAATATTGCACTCCTTGCCACGATGAATTTTGTGGACTCGTTCTGATATTCCTGTCAGACAAGTGAGATAAGTTCACAACACAACAACAACAGTAATAGTGATTAGTTTTGGCAAATGATAAGTAAATAGGAAAGTCTTTTCTTTCACTATATTATTCAACTAATATAAAACAGACAAAAGTGCTCAAGTGCTCAAGAAAATTTTGGAATTTTAAATTAACTTTAAGCGAATATATACACATTGAATTTTCATTATTTGTTTTAAATACTAATTCAATTTTAATACTAATTTTCTTTCATACATTTATCTGAAATATAATTTATTCATTTTCTACCAAATGTATTAAAAATAATTAAAAGTATAATATATAACTAAAGAATTTTTTTACAGCGATTTTGTTTTAAATTATTTAATTGTATTTTCAGACGTCTAGCTGAAATAATTAAAAAAAGTATACGTGTTTCCTTTTCACTTGCTCAGGTGTTATTGACGTATTATGTAATACTTAAACAATTTTAGTGAAAGGAATATCCTGCTTTTATCATTATATGTTTATGTTCTCATCGTCCAATAACCTCGAGTTAAGGAAGTAAGTGCATAGATAATATTTAACCAAAGAGCTAAAAAAAAATAACTTACAATTATCAAGTAGGCACGGCAGCTATTGTTGGATTAGCAAACATGGCATTTTGCTTTTACCAAAGTAAAATGCCAATAACCCATTAAGTAAATAATTACTTTTTATCGAATGATGTCAGCAGATTTTATTTTAAAATTTAATATAAATGCTTAGATCTCAATGCAAAAATATGCTCTGGTACAAACGTGAGATAATCTAAAGTTTCGGTCTTCATAGCTTTCATTTTCAAGTCTTCATAGCTTTCATTTATTCATCATGCAGAAAATGGTAAGGCAAATTTTCATGTTATATCACATTAATCGTTTTTCAGTTCGTGCTTATCACTATCAGAATTTGTGATTATTGGATGTTCTTTGCGACAAATGAACTTCTAACAATGTAGTTTACTGTTTTTTTTTATATGATAGGCCAAAACTTCGGAAAATAACATGAAATGCATCAATAACTTTAATCTTTTCATTTTGTGGTATCACACAAGTGAAACTACTGTTCGTGAAATTTAATCTTGTACCTCTAATCCTCACTTTCAATTGGTTGTGAAAATGTCTTTTTCTCCATTTGCTACTGATCAATTTGTGATAACTTTCACAGTGTTAGACCATAAGGTTGTCTTTAACATAAGCTCATTAAAATAATAGCAAACAAACGCTTCATTCTATTGCAATCTACCTGTCATTTCTCCAGATAAAATTTTTATTTCTCCTGTTTCTGTTAAGTATACAGTTACGTGTAATAATTTCTTTTGTAGTTTGTGTTCCTTTTCTTTCTCTCTCTCTCTGTGTATATATTAGTTAAATCACCAACATGCAAGTACGCGTACAAATACTATGAAGTAAGTTACATTAGAGATGCTTTGATCTATTGAATGCTTTAATTTAAAAATATTTTGCCTCTTAAGATCAATAATTGAATTGTGTCATCTTAGTTATGGGAGATAAAAAATTTATTTAGTCTGCTACAAAATTATAAAAGCTACAAATTAAAAAAATAAAATTTAGGTAATGTTCAGAAAGATGTAGACCTGTTTAGATATGGAAATTGAGAAAATATCCTTTCTGTGGATTTCCAAAATTTAGGATGGACTTTTACTTCTTGTCAGTGCAATTTAATATATATTAGTGTGCCTCCGATTTTCTAACGAATCGAATAATTGTCTAAAATTCGCAACGGTATGCCTAAAATTCGCAACGGTATAAATTGCTTGGGGAATTAAAAATGGGAGAATTAAAAAGTAGAGAATAAAAACAAATTTAAACCTGTATATACAATTTGAGATTTGGGAATACATTTAAACGTAATTCGATAATAAATACACAATATTAAATATATTAAGCGAAAATGGATAAGGTATTTTAATGTTTCATTTTACAACATAATTCAAACTTTGTGCAACAATAAGCAATGCAGTTAAAACTAAATCGACTAACGAAATCAATCAAAAACTAAAATAAATAAATAAATAAATAAAAAAGAAAAACAAAATCTGAAATGTTTCAGATTTTAAATTACGTCCAAAGGGGCGTTTTTTTAACATTTTGTGTGTTACCTTTCTTTATTAAATATCATGTTCTTCGCACTTAAACCATAAGATCCAGTGCAACAGCAATATCGCAAAATAGTTTTAAAACGAGCATATCTTTAGAATTTCCGATACAGAGACTCACGCGCTGGAGATAAAAATATTTTTTTTCTGCACAACGTTGCCATTGCTCGCTTTGAAATCCTTGAGTTTGTTAATCAAAAATTCGTCAAAGTTTTAAAAAATAGGAAATCGATCATAAAACAAATTTCAAATTTCAAATTTGGTCTTCCACATGCTCATATTCGTTGGAGGATTACGTTATTCAAAATTCGATGACTCTATGTACCGTGTTTTATCACAATACGAGAAATATACATACATTTATGCAGATTTTTCATTATTTAATTTCTTCAAATATAATGCAGGACTCTAACATTTTGTGGCAACAGTTTGAAAAGTGAACCGACATTTATGAGTCCGACGCAAAATGCCAAAACGAAAGTAATAGTCCTTCGGGACTCAAATCCCTTTGGACTAATAAAAATAAAAATATGTAGACAATGTTTTTTTGAAAAAACATTGTTAACCATTTTTAAAATTGATAAGCATTGATCAGTTTAGTGCATCCATGCCATGCACATTTTTTTTCTTTGCCTTTAGTAATACGGGATTTGGACAACGAATGTTCGAAATTTTACATTATAGCTCAGGGAATTCGCTGAATATAGAAATCAATACATGATAGGTCGTTCATATCATACTTTCCAAATGATCAAATAATCTCACTTGCAAAGATTTGCATTCAAAATAACTGCATTATTATTATGATTTTCAGATATGCCTTCCATATTCTATTGGTTAATAAATATAACATTATCATGTGTCACTGTCATGTATCATCATCGTCACTGATATTTATGCAATGTGTTTCGACAACTGTTTTAAAATATTTCATTAACGATATAATTTCAAAAAATAGCTAGTACGGTCATCTATAAATTTGATACATCATAAAAGTTCTGCTTTTCTCTCCATTTCTTTCATATTGGCCTTGACGTATAGTCTTACAACAAATTCATTGCAAAATATTAAAAAAAAATAATTAAATTTGGTATTCAAGGCAGCTAATTAAAATTTGAATTTCTAAATTGTCTGAATTAAATTAAAAGGTAATAAATTTATTCTTAAAATTACTAAATATTTCTTTCTTAAAAGTTGCATGTATTCACAGATATTACCTGTCTTGACAAAAAGAATATTTAAAAATGCAATTATATGGTGTTTATTTCAGATTTAATGAAACAGTTTAATGTTTCCTCATTCAACTGATAATAACTAATTTAATGGAATAGTTATATTTTTCTTATATAACTACACTAATGATACTTTCAAATAATTATAGCGAAATTCATACGTTGAATTTCGATACAGGATTAAAATTAATGAGTCTTTCCTTTAGCGATGAACATCACAATAATCAAATTAGGGTATTCTGAGTCATGCGGAAAAGTACAAAATTGTCACTACGATTCCGTATTTGAAAGAGAAACTTTTAATGCACTTAGAAATTATTCTAAAAGTAATGACAAGATTACTCAAGATCAGGTATTTGAGTAGAATTTGAAAGAAAATTTGATAGATTTTGCTTCAGAAAGTCTCTAGCATTTGCTCTAGATATAACATAAAGCTCTTTTAAGATTTGTTTATGATTAAAAAGGTTTTCATTTCTGATGTATAATAAAACAGCTAAGGCACTTATTGGTAGTGCCTTAGCTGTTTTATTATACATCAAATACGACAATTTATCAAAAACGACAAGAAATTGAGAAAGTTGATATATGTCAAAAAATAGTTTATATAAGTAGTATTTTGCCTTAATCTTACTTATTTTTATATCCGAATTTTTTAAAAATTAAATACAACCATCTATCTCCTTTTATTTCGTAGCTACTATAAAGTATAAGATAACTCAGTAATAGTGGTTACACAGTAATACTGGTTATTGACTCTTCCTGCCGTGCCAAATGGCCGTTTTCGATTTCCGGATAAAGCATGGATGTATGTGAATGTGCGGTGTTTGTGCAGCATGGAGTCGCTCTAAATATGTGGTGAGACGAAAGCCCCCTCGAGAGGTTGATTTTAGGGAAATAGTGGAGAGATCCTGGGTTCCATCCCCCGGGGTGCTCGCCATCAAAATTGGGGACATAAGTGAGCAAAGTCCTAATGCCAACTGTATGGTGTCTAGGCTCTTGCCAACGGCAGGCGCAGTCTTGCACTCCTTGCCACAAGAGTTTCGAGGACTTGCTCTGATGTTGCTGTCAGACAAGTGAGATAAGCAGAACATAACACAACATAAAATAAATCTTAGAATGCCATCAACAAATGTTCTAAGTAAGTAATAAAAATAAATAAAACACATACTAGAAAAAGAAAGCCTCTGAAAAATAAAATTGAATAGGGCATTTTTAAAACTTTATAAATTACCATTATTTTTTGGGAAGTAGTGTTCCGGTATGGTTTAAATAACCCAAGCTACAGATAATCACAAAACTGAAATTTATTAAATTTCCTTTCATTGCAGATCATTGGTATCATCTTTTGTTTGGCAGTTTTCCTTCTTGCTGCTGAAGGTCTTCCACAAGGAGGAGGAGGTGGTGGCAACGCTGGTGGCGGTTTTGGAGGCGGATTTGGTTTTAGCGGAGGTGCAGGAGCAAGCGGTGGAGGCGGTGGTGGCAGTGAAGGCTGTGGTGGCAAAGGAGGAGCAGAGGGAGGAGCAGGAGGAGGATTTAACTTTGGAGCTGAGGCTGGAGCAAAAGGCAATGGAGGTGCTGGAGGTAGCGGTGGAAAGTGATGATTTTATGACTGTAGGATGAATATTTTCCTTCCACATTTCAACAATTCCTAACCTGTATCTCTAAAAAAATTAGAAAACATGTTTGCGTACCGAGATCTTTTTTTAATAAATATGTGCTTGTTCAATGGTGTAATTTTCATTTAGAAATTTCATTAAAAATTTGTGAAAAGACCTGATATTAAAAATAAACGTGACAAGAAACCATAAATTGATTGCTTGGCTAGTTATTTCAATATGGCAAAGAACACGACGGTCGGCCTAAGCGAAGTGATGCTTTCCTGGGGGTCTTTCTAAGTAAAACTAGCTCGTAAACACATTGCACATAGACAAACAACAAAAACCAATCATGCAGCCAAGCCACTTGGGCTGGAACCCAGAAAGAAGTACAATTATTCAGCAGACTTTAATAGCTCAGCTACTGATTGTCCAAGTTAGCATAGGTATATTTTTCAACAATGAAAGAATAGTGATTAGGTATATTAAAAATTGCATTAAATTCTAATGATAGTACACATTTGCTATTTGAATAATTGGCTATTGGAAAAAACATTGTTCACATGACATTATGCATTTCTAAATAAGAGAATATATGAAATACATATGCAGTTATATAAATTAATTAATTAGAAAAAATTAAGTTAAAATGACTTTCAGACAAATAATGGGGAGTCAACGCAGCTAAGATTTAATTTAAATAAATTAATTAATCAAAGTATTTTAATTATTACAATCGGAAATAATTTTTTGGTAATACAAAATGTAAAATTTGAGTGAAAAAAATGTACGCCATGAAGAGTCAAACTAATATTAAGGCATCATCAAGTATTTGCAGTTTTTTAATTACTAGTACCGAATGTTTGTTCACTCACATTTTGGATTTCCAAAAAATTGTTCTTGATTGCAATTAAATTAATTTGATGAATATATATATATATACAAAATATAACTGATATAATAATATAAAAGATGACTTATATGCATTTGCTTTTTTATTATATAAACATAAGGCGAAAGGCATGTTCTCCATTCGCAAGCTTCCTGACGTTTCATTAAATGCGCCATATGGTTTAATAATGACTCTTTTTTTTCTTTTGCTAGAGCGTTTGATGTGTGGGTTTGGAGTCCAGTTATGCCTTCCGTATACGAAATGTTTCTGTTCTAAATGTTACTATATAAGAGCGTCGAAATTTTAACAAATTATATGAATTTAAATTGCATTAAGTCTGTAACTTTATGGTTTATAAAAGCAAAGTTAAGAGAAAGTTCAGGAATATATACGGAAAGAGTTGTGAAATCTCTATTTTTTTAACTATATTTACTATTACTGAGTTATTTATAGAACTTTCTGATCAAGGGTGCAATTGATCGTTTTTTTCATCATTTGCGGATGAATCGGACTCTAATGAGGAGAACGAAAGGAATAACTGAACCTTTTCCCACGCCTAAAATTAAAAATTCGTCAGATGTTAGGTCCCTTCCCCCAAAAAACTGCTTTCAAAGATAGATGGGAAGCACTTTGTTCAAATGAAAATTCTAAAAAAATTAGTCTCGATGTTTTGTTTATTTACACTCTCGCAGAAATCCTCCAGAAAGGCAAATGAACTGATTTGAACGTAAGGAATTTAACAAAGGACTGTGTGTAGATCTCTGCCTGGAATTTATCACACTAAAAATTAAATGTAAATAAAATGTTTATTGTTAATATTTTATTGTCAAACGTCACTAACAGGGAAGTACATATTGAAAAAAGTAATGCGCAAAATAATAATATTTAAACAAAAAAGGCTTAAAAATATATGAAATATGTAAATAATATATATATATATATATATATATATATATAATTGTAAGATAAAAAATACATAAATCAAAATTATAATTTTAAAAAGTCTCATTTTTAATTTAGGTATATTCTCTCTAGTAATAACTTTCTCGAAACTGCGTCATATCTAAAAACTAATTCCGCATTATGCCATCTTAAAACTTCTGCATTGCCTATAAGTTTTAGCCAATGAGATTAGCGACATATTTTTACTGTAAATACCGTTGCAACCCAACTACCCTCCTTCTTTCTCTGCCTGTGTTTGGCAGCTTAAGGATGTCTTTTGCTTAGCTGGCTTCTATGAAAAACGTCATCAACAAATTTGTGGACTGTTAATTGGGAGGGGGGGGAGGGGCCCATTGTGTTGTGTCACTTAAAGGAGTAATCAACAAGTAATAAAGATATATTTGGATTATTAAGTGATTTTTGTGATTCATCAAAATTTCTCTCATCTACTATATAATTGATATTTTCAGTGATGATCTAACCTCAATCCACTCACTACTCCAAAATAATGTCTTCCCTACTCAAGCACTTATCTGTCATCAATTTACTGCATACATATATATATAAAGCATATACCACATATATATTTTATGTATTCTAAATAGCATCATTAAACAATGTGTTCATCCTTCTGTAATTTCGTGGGCTTAGTAGCGAAAAACCGCCTATCCCTGGAAAGACGCCCGCGGAAGAAACAGCCGGCCCCAAGAGTACGTGCGCGTAAGAGTTAAGACTGACAGTAAAACTTAATTCGTAACAAAGAGAATTTAAAGTCTTTTCGGCGTGCGCTGGCTTCCGAATATCCGTTTTCACTAAAATAAAGAGCTCTCGGCTATAAAGCTTTTCTGTTATCATTGTAAAGGATTGATTTTGTATCATAAGCAAGAAACCATACCCAATTCAATAGTGCTTTTTTTTGATTAAATTAGAAAAATCTAGTGTTAAATAGCAGAAAAACATTTACAAACTAATTTATAATTTTTTTTAACTTGTAGGGATTTATATTTATTTTAAATAACCAATTTACTTTCCTATAAGCCTTCATTCTGTTAATGATCAGTGCCAGTATATTTAAATTTGGTAGCGCGCATGAAGGAATGCAAATTCCAGGTTGAAGATAGAGTTTAAAATCCGAAGTTCAGTAGGAAAGAGGGAGAGTTAGACTATTGCCGTCACCTCTGTTGCTTAAGAGACCCCTCAACCTTCTGAGGAGACGCACGCGTTTTTTATCGCTCCGCTTATTGCCTGCTCATCTTGCGGAATTATTGTGCTAAAGCATACAAATTTCGCATTATCGTTAAGAGGAAGATCTAAGGATTACAAAGATACCAGATTTGTGATAGAGAGATTGATAGAAAATGATTTATGAATTTTCAGATTGTTCAAAACTCTGAAATGGCAAAAGTATTGTAATTACGCAAGCTACAACTTTCCACCGTTCTATATGAGCCGCCGCTCATTGGATCTTCAAGTAACTTTTACCATCGGATGTGTAAGCTTTCCAGGAGCATTTTAAGACCAAGCTCAAGTCGTTCTATTAATTAGGGAATTTAATATTATTAAATTTGCTGATTTTACACACACGGTGTGGAATGCGATTGTGAACTCTGACCTTGAACAAAAGGCCGTTGCACTCGTCTCCCCCTCCCCAACGGAATTCGCTACGGTGTGACCGCAAAGAATGCTTCAAAAATAGAGAAGTGGGCGTTTTCATACACAGTGTTTATAGTAGAACTAATTAGTGTACCAAGAGAGGGCTAGCATCTTTGATCTCTGCTCATCGAGACGGATCCAAGTTTCTTTATCTGACAATATTCTGACTAGTGGTTCGCAAATTACGACTTTTTTTTTTTTTTTTTTTTTTTTTAAAGCTTAATTATTCATCTTAGTGTGTTACATCAGTTCTCACAGCGTAGTGTGTGTATCATGGTGAGTGTGTTGACATCAGTTCTTACAGTGTAGTGCTCATTAGTGCGTTATAGTGATCTGTTCTAATTGTGTTGTGCCTTCGCTTTTGGATTACCTAATTCAACAGATGATGAAATACATAGAAGATAAACGACCAAGGATTTCCCAGCTGAAAAGAGCAATTCACATAGCAGTGTGACGTAGCAGTACGAATCAGAAACTTCGGTTTTCTCAGCTGAAACCAACAATTAACGTAGTAGTGTGAGCTAATTAGTGATACAATGATAGTGTTGTGCGAATACAGTGTTCTACAGCGTGTGTGTGTAGTACTCAGCACTATTAGTGCTTAATAAATATTATTGTGTTTACTTCATAGAGAACAAAGGAAGCGCAGAAGAAGCCCTGCAATCAAGGTAGGATTGTTTTAATTATCCGGTAAACAAAATATCCGATAATCCTACGAGCAATAATTAAGATTGCATTACATTTACACAATAGCAGTCACCTAAATAGCATCAGGGTAATAATAGCTGTTTAAAACTTATGATTTTGTGCGTTCAATAAGAAGCTGGTAAATTAGCTGCGTATTCATTCCTTAATCCTGTATACCACCCTCCTAAATATTAGCAGTTTTGCAAGGATTCGTTTCAGTGATCATATCTTGTATATTTTCCTGTTTTATACATTTAACTATACTTATATTTGTGAGTGTTTATATATCAGTAAGTGCTAGTTTTTTTTTTTTTTTTTTTTTTTTCCCCTTGATGTGCGTTATATAACTATGGCTTACAATAATTTAACTAATTAAGTATTTATGCTGATATTTTGTGTTATATACTTCTAGCTAATAATAATAATTTAATTGATTTAGTTTTTATACAGAGAATAGTTTCAGCGCTTATATTCTGTGTGATATCATGTTCTATACCTTTATTATGCGGCCCATAGACTTATTCATTGATCTTTACTAATTAAGCAGTGTACAGCGCTACTGCTACTTTATTAATTGAGCAGTGTGTTACCTGTCATATTTGATTGAGCAGAGTATTTGTCATATTTAATTCAGTCATATCATATTTGATTCAGTGATCGTATCTTGTATATTTTCCTGTTTTATACATTTTACCATACTTATATCTGTGAGTGTTTATATATCAGTAAGTGCTAGTATCTTGTGTAATGTATTTCTAGCTTACAAAAATTTAATTAATCAAGTTTTCCCCCTAATAATGTGTTGTATAATTATATAATTCTGGCTTACAATAATTTAGCTAATTAAGTATTTATGCTGATATTTTGTGTTATTACTTCTAGCTAATAATAATAATTTGATTGAATTAATTTTTATACAGAGAATAGTTTCAGTGCTTGTATTCTGTGTGATATTAT